ATCAGGTATCCATGAACACAGATGGACATAATCACCACTGTGATATGAGTGGGGAAAATGAAATCATAATCTGAATGTAATCATAGAAAACAGAATCCGTGGGGGAGGCCACAAGTGATGGCATGTCTTCAAATTGGCCATATGATTCTAACTGGAAGCCTGGGCTAAGAACCTCTTAGCTAATTCTTGCTTTTCAAGCTTCTATGTGCATATAAATCCTTTGGTATTCCATGTCTCACTCTAAGTAATGTGGTTCTGCAGGTTTGCAAGGGTTCTGACATATCAGGAAAAAAGAACAAATGAATGAACAGACACATTCTCAGTAAGCTGTATACTTACCAAAGTTAAAAATGTGTCCATGTTAAAAATGTATCCAATGTTAAAAATGATAACTATTAAGATATAAGGTAATAGTCAAAAGTTCACTATACACTAAGTTCCCCACAGACTTTGTTCTTAGTTCAGAATTCTATGTGGAAAGTAGTACAATAAACTATTTTACACATATGGAAATTGTGCATAAACAATTTAAATTTCTAATCTTAGTTCAGGTTAGGAAAAAGAAACTATTGATGTAAAATATATAATTAGACTTTTTAAAATAAATATTTTAAAATTAAATATCTAATTAAAATATTTAACATTTAATATATAATTTATATTTAATTAAAGGGAGAAGATTTGTACTCTGATGAAATTAAAGAGTCTCAATTTCTGTAGGATTCTTTAAAATCTCCATAGGATAGAAAATTAATAAAACATAAAATATTTGACATCTGTCTACAGTATTCCTGAAATTTCTGAACCAAATACCACTATTTCCCCCACTACATTCACGCACTTCTGACATGAGCCAAAAACAGAACTTTAAAAATGGTTGAACATAGAGGTAGTCAGAAATATGCAAACATTTTCCCAGGATCCCCAAAGGAATGGAAGAGCAGTCAGATCATCCCCTCACATGCCAAGGGGAGGACTTTGGCTCTCACTGAAAATTTGATGGAAGATCACTAAAGCACAAATGGAATTCTCAGATAATTTTTTTCACAATCTTAAGGAGAATGAATCAATCCTCAGATAATTTAAGAGCATGAGAAAGAAGATGTACTTTTATGAGTGCAAGAGAAATAAACCTAGGCTTCTCAAAAATTAGTTTCATTTCACCAGAGCTTCTCAATTAACATTTTAAGGTCTGGCTTTCTCCTTGACCTTTGGCCCCTCTCACCTGTGTCATCTGCTTCATTCACTTCCACCTACCTGCATGTTTGGCTACTGTGTCCGCTCTCTTCACATTCCAGGGTTCTTCCATTTGTTTCAAAAAGGTGACCAGGTCCAGCTTAGAGATGGCAAGTTCTACTTTATTAGAAAAAGACACATGAAGATTGCTTGAGGTTCTTCAATTTCCAAATTAGTATTGAACTCAGTAGAGAAGAGAGAATATTATAAAAGATCCTAGAAAATTATTTTCCAAAATACTATTTCCTCGCAGCCCCTGTAGAATATTTAGGAAGCATTTTAAATTTGTGGATCCTGTGCTTCAATTCTAAGTATGACTGAATCAAAAATTTAAAAATAGAATTAGATTTTAAGGTGTAGACAACAATATTTTATGTCACTGCATTTCTAGAATCACCGCTAAACTGTAATGATATTTGCAAATCACCCCAATAGGGTAAATATCAAGGTCAAACATAAAGGTTTTTTTGTACATCAATTTTTTGTTTGAAAGCAGGAATCTAAAACTCATTCATACAAAGCAAAAGCTCCCAAGAAACAGTCTACAAAGGAAAGAAATAAAACACTTTGGATACATTAAATATTCTGGAAGTAAGTGATTCTCACCCAAAGAGACCAGGTTTCTGTAGTTCTCTAACATCACATCGCTATACAAATTCTGTTGAGCAGGGTCCAGGTATTCCCACTCCTCTGGAGAGAATTCTATGGCCACATCCCTGAATGTCAACAGTCCCTGAAATAAAAATAAAAAAAAAAACACAAAAACACATTGAACATGTGGCCTTGGGCAGAGTTCTTAGGGTCCAGGTATTCTCACTCTGCCAGAGAGAATTATACGGCCACATTCCTAAATGTCAACAGTCCCTGAAAGAGTAAAAAAAAAATAAAATAAAAAAATAATAATAATAATAAGTATTGATCATGTGCCCATGAGCAGACCTCTTAAAATGAGAGATTTAAAAATACTGGCTATAACATATTATGAGTGACCTGAATTACACAAGAAGATACATTTGAACACACCAATATTCCTTAAGGTATTCTCTGTGGAAAGAGAATAATATATGATCCACAAAATTAATATAGATACTATGCTTATATAGAATATAAAATATAAAACTAAAGCATCAACACAGAAATACACATTTGTGAGTGCTATATTTACATCATATAGCATCAGTTGGGTATATTCCTCAGAGGGAAAAGTCATGGTGAGTTAGAAGCATGTTTCTCTAATTTTATTGTGTACAACAATAAACCAGAGATCTTGTTATAATGCAGATTCGGATTCAGGGGATCTGGATGAGGTCTGAGATTCTGCATTTCTAACAAGCTCACCAGTGATGCCAAGGCCTCAGGTCTAAAAGCCACACTTGTGAACAGCAGAGGGAGAACACTGAGGGAGTGATTCATGGATAACATGGAATTGAGAGTTTTATGAAATATACAGGTTATAACATAATAGCAAGAATAGCAGCGATCCATTTTGAACATTTACTACATGCTAGATGTCATTCTAGGACTTTTTCATATATTAATGCTAAAAAAACACAAAAATAATTTATGAGAAAAATAATGGCATTCTTCCTCTTTTATGAGAACATTTTGTCACTTATCCATTAAACAGTACAGCTTGGGTTTTAACCCAGTTTATATAACTTAGAATTTATCTCAAAGGGATAACTCCAAAAGAATGTTCAGAGGAGCTTTCGTAACTGAGAACAGTAACGAAAACAATTTAAGAAGTCAGGAACACAAAATTGGTCAAATAATGCTGACATTATCTGCAGACAAATACATGGAAATGGTAAGCATATACACATAAAAAGTGAGAGGAGAACACTTCTGTGTAAATAAAGAAATATATTTAATTGTAAAAAATGTATAAATCTGTTGGCGATTTTTAAACATACTATGGAGACCATGACACACAATGAAATAAACAAAAATAACGGCTATTATTTCAGAGCCCTGTATTATTTTTGTTTTTTTGTGTCATTTATTCCATGGGCCCTGCAGTATTTTAGAGTTTTAAGATGCTTAAATGTATTATATATATGTTAATTCTCATTCCCTTTCTCTGAAAATATAGGAGTAATAAAAAAGCCCGTTTGTGACATGAGGGTAGAATAAAATGGAAACTACTGAAGGCCTGTTTTAAATCTACCAATTTCAAAAGCAGCATCTCTAGTCAACAAATATGAGAGCCTTTATCCCACAAGCAAGCTACGAGAAAATGGAAATTATAAAGGAGAATTTTTGCATTAAATATGATGGTTTATACACATCACTCAGTAAACTCCCCCAAGATAGCATTAATGACAAAGAGAAAAATAATTAACTTTATACTGAAGGAATCTGGCAGAGAGTCCTTTAACCAAGTGAATGAAGTTACCATCTGCTGTAATGAGATGGTAAACTGGTTATCAGGTATCCATGAACACAGATGGACATAATCACCACTGTGATATGAGTGGGGAAAATGAAATCATAATCTGAATGTAATCATAGAAAACAGAACCTGTGGAGGAGGGCACAAGTGATGGCATGTCTTCAAACTGGCCATGTGATCCTAACTGGAAGCCTGGGCTGAGAACCACTTAGCTAATTCTTGCCTCTCAAGCTTCTATGTGCATATAAATCCTTTGGTATTCCATGTCTCACTCTAAGTAATGTGGTTCTGCAGGTTTGCAAGGGTTCTGTGAATTGGCTTCTATAACAAGTTCCCTGTAAATGCAGATGATGCTCTTCCTAGACCCATTATCAGCAGCACTCAGCTAGAGACAGCAGAAACAGCACACAGAGTCCCTTATACCCAACACTCTTATCACAACACAAATTTTGCCATGAAAGATCATATTCTTTGCTGGCCATTTAAAGTTCACAGAAGGATGGAGAAGGCAGCAACGTCTAAGTAAGCTTACATTTGTAAAACAAAATGTACACACACATTAATGCAATGTTTACTAAGCAGGTACCATGTGCTCACAAGTATGTTATAGAGCACCGCGCTGGCAACATCGCATTATAAGAATTAATCTTCAGAATAATACCCTGGGAGTCAGGTACTAAGTGTCTCCAAATTCCAAGCAGGATTCAAATGAAAGTCCCAGTCTTTCTATTTCTCTTCTTTTTCCCTATTAGTCATTTTAAGAAGAAAATATACAAAATAAAAGTTCAATACAGATAGATAGGAGTGATACAGAAAGGGTTGGGGTGTAGTTCAGAGGAATTTTTCATTGTTGTGTTAATATTTACCTTTTTAAAACTGTGGAGCAACTACTGGATCTGCAGGAATGAAAAACTGGTTCCTAGGTGGGATGCCTCTAGCATCTAGAGGTTGTAATGATAAAAAAATACGGCCCCCAAATATATATTCCTTTTATCTGCTTTTCTGTTTTAAAAACTTGTGAGCAGTTCGACTGCCAAGAAGGCCAACTAGAGAAACAGCTTGTCAGACCCTTGCGGCTGAAGAGTAGAGGGTTGAACTGATGAGAGTGGAGAACAACTACGGCTCGGATGAGGACCACCGGGAGAGATAACAGAGAAGTCGGGGGACCCCACGGAGGGAACTGCTAAGCTGAGAGAGAGGAGGACAGAGAAAAGAGATCGTGGCACAGACCAAATCCAGCGAGGCCTGGAGCCCAATAAAAGGGTCGGCAGCAGAACACAGGGTTCTCTCATTTTGCACCGGGGTGCCACAAGGGACAAGAGAGCCGCGTTCTTGCATCTGGACGCTCTCTCTCTTCTGCACCTCCTCCATTCCTGGCATCCCAGAAACTAATTTTGGCTCAAGCTGGCTTGTAAGGACAGCTCCTTCCCTGCTATTGCAACCGCGAAAGTGCTCTGCGCTTAGAGACCAGTCTCTGGGAGACCCGGCCATTAGCAGCTGGCCGGCCTCAGAGTAGATCCTTGGCTGCGCTTGGCCCGGATCGCCCGCAGGCAACTTGGACAGGCAGGCAGAACCCATGCCCCCTCCCCCGCCCAACCAGGCTGGTGCAGGAAGACTGCGGCCCCTCCCCCACAACAGCAACTGCTGGAATGCTCTGCCTTAAGAGGCCTGCTTCACAGTAAAGCAGGTGCATTCGAGCCCGCAGGACAGCCCGTCTGTGATCTTCCTGCCCACAGACGTTTAGTGGGGCCACCTGCTGGAGGATCATACAGGCAGGCTGAACCTGGTGCCCTCCAGCTGGGAGAGTGGGGTGGGGAGACGGGGAGGTCGTAGTTCCTGGCTGGGGTGGCAAGAGAGCCCTTGTGGCCATATCCAAGGGGAGGGCGTGGAGGGGCACAGAGCAGCCCATCCCCCAACGCCGCTGGAGAACTGCCACATTGGAGAAGGCAGTGGCACTTGGACTGAATTAGCTTAGGCACTGGTTCCCATGCAACGGAATGTTTCCGGTGTGTTTCGTGAACCAGAGTAGTGGCCACTCCTAAAACTCACTATAGGAAGTACGACTTGATCCAAGACTTGTGAACCGCTGCTTCTCCCCCAGCAGGAGTATGCCCCTGGCAGAGACCGCTGCAGAAAGAAAGGCCTATCTCTCTCACCTTGGGGTACAGTGGAGAACAGGGGTGCACAATGAAAGATCCCCTACCTACCAGAGTCACATGGAGATGCACGCAGGCGGGTCAGACACACAACCTGTGGGGTATCTCCAGAGCTGGTCTTGGGCAGAGAGGGAACACACGTGGACTAGTCAGAGGGGAGAGTGCTGTGGAGGGAGTAAACAGGGAAGGTGCATGCCTCAAACCAAAAAGAAACCGGGCTAGTGGACAGGGATGGAGAAAGCCTGGCTTGGGGCCTTAGCAATCACACGATAAGGCCCCTCCCCTCGGGAGCAGCTCTCATTTTTAACTATGGCCATTTTAACTCTTGTCCTATTCCATCTTGGGAAGTTTCTTCTGAGCTTCACAAAAATCAAGAAACCCCTTTCACTGGTGAAATAATTAAATATATTTGTAACATAAGGCCATTTTTTTTTTTTTTAGCATTTCCATTGTGCACTGGCAGAATGCACAAATGGGATAATAAATCAATTGGCAAAGTTTACAGAAACTTCCCACGTTCCCTGGCATAAGGCCCTTCTTTTGATATTGTTTAACTTACCTTCTACCACATGTGGAAAACATCAGCTCTCTCCCTTTAAAGTAATAACAGGAAGGCCCACGGACCTGGATGAAGTAGCCTACAAACCAGCTCATCTTAAATGAGGGTGATATTCTTCATTATTGTCAAGGCCTTACAAAGTTTCTCACTAAAAATTCTACATTGATTAAAGATTTTTAACAGTGAGCCCCCAGGAGATGCAGATGTCAATGGTCATGACGGCCAACCCAGAAATTTTATTGGAAATGATATTAAATAAAATAGTCCCTCCAACCACACTGGAAGAAATCATATCAGGTATTATTGGCCAACCCCTGTACTGCTAAATTGAAGGGCAATGTTTCTTAGCATATTCGGCCACCCCTCTATCTATAGATAACCTGAAGAAAGCCAACACTGGACTAGCTTCCTCAACCTCTTCTCTAAGGAAGATCACCAATCTATTTTAGATGGGCATTCTATTTGGGGAAAAATGCTAATTATCTGCCTGGCCATGAAGAAAAAAAATAGCCCCATGAATTTCATTGGGAGAATGCTTTTGCCATTGTGGTTGACACTTCCCATAAACCCATGATTAGAAATCAACCTTAGGAAAAACTGCTAATGAAACTGCTTCTTCCATCACA